CAACTAGTTCTGCGTACGCTTTTGACATATGCAAGGATGCCCAATGATCTCCACGAGAGAGAGAGAGAGAGAGAGAGAGAGAGAGAGAGAGAGAGAGAGAGAGAGGCCGACACGAAGACGGAGCGCTTTGCCTGTAACTGCACCTCCCTTTTCTTCCTCCCCACCCCACGTCCAGTGACAGCAGTGTCTAAGGCCAAAATTCTCTTGCACATATATATCAACAACGCCTTCTGGAAACGGACGTAGGCATAACGTCATAGACACAGGCATAGATGCATAGTCATGGACATACACATAGATGCATACATATGACATAGACACTGACAGGATGTCTATGTCTATGACTCTGTGGTGGGGAATGACATCTATCCATCTATGTCCTATACGTAGAGGCATGAAGTCGTAGGCATAGCTATAGATATATAGATACACACATAGACACATAAACAGACACACAAAGACACATGCATGCGCTTGGACAGACTTGGATCGAATGTGCATGCAATTCAACCACAATGCTGAGTTGCCACCCAACACCAGTAGTCTGCAATCCAACCAAGTCTGTCCAAGATGATGAAGACTACTGGCTTGTTTGGCATGCATGCTTTGACTGAACCTCTTTTTTGTTTTACTGGCTTGTGTTTGGTCTGCGGCATTGTTCTTTCTTTATTTATTGATTTGTTTGTTTGTTTGTTTGTTTGTTTGTTTGTTTGTGTCTTTTTTTGACTGGTATATTTGACAAATTCTGCCATCTGGGCCTGAACCATGACTTCTGGTGGGCATGTTGATACCGATACACGTTTCGTTCTTTTGCTCTTCTGCTCTTTTTTTTGTGTGTGGTTTGTTGTTTTGGTATGCAGGGAGGGGCGACTCATGTTGACATTGCGTCCGATCCAGAACTTGTGAGAATGGCTTTGGAGATCACGACACTCCCGGTGAGTGTGGGTAGGCTTTTTGCGCGAAGGGGATACCGTCTTCTCCCGAATGGAATTTAGGGTCATCATTATACCGGTATTCAGGGCAAATTTCAGTCTAGATACACTGCAGTAATGACTGTATGCCCGATTTGGATGGAGAGTAGTCTGGAAGTCGTCTGCTTTGTGTTGGAGATTGCTTTGCTACATGGTGTACCTTTCCTACTATTTTTTTTTCTTCTCAGAGATTTCTCTCTCTAGCAATTTCCTGGATGTATCTGACTGCAATTACGACTGGTTCTGCGTGTATATGATTGCAATTCTGCCTACACAGGTCTGTCAGAAACGTCCTACCGTCTTCATCCGAATAGAATGCCTGGTCATTATATCTGTATTTGGTGCAACTTTCTGTCCAGATGTGGCAATAATTACCGGGCGTTCTATTCGGGTGAAGACTGTAGTGTTTGTGTGCCCCCAAAATATCAAAATGGGGTAGTCAAGTGTTACATACTCGTGATGTTATCAACGAGCATGGGGCAGAACCAAAGATCAACCAATATAGGAAGAGTATGTATGCAACGGAAGTCTGATAAACGGACTGACTCACATAGACTAACTCGCATAGATATCACTCCACGCACATACAATCGTGAGATGGTGGGGCCTGAGCCATGCATAGACGATGCTCAGGCCCCTTACACACATACACAGATGAAGGTGGGAGGAGAGACGAAGGAGGTGGGAGATGTAGGTAGCAGCAGATGTCACCGAGATAGAAACCAGTAGGTCACCGTTATGGTAATCCAAAATGTCATCGAACAAGATCAAATGTCGCGGACAATAAGTCACCAATGTCGGAGATACAGAGTCCTAATGTGACCGGTGTCCAATCTGTGATGCAGCCGAGTATCATCCCCAACAATCTCCAAGTCTCGAACCCGGTAAGTACCACAGCCTCATACCACCGAAGTCCAACACTGATCTCTGTCCAACTAGTATAGGTCTCCAGTCTGAAGAAGAAGAAGAAGAAGAAGGAGAAGGAGTCGAGGAGGAGAGAGAGAGAGAGGGGACTGGCGACGGGAGGGAGGAGAGAACCCCCGGCTCCCGATACCTCAGGCGGCTATGGCCGCCGATCTGCTCAGTCGCCGCCGCTGCTGCTCCGCTCGCTGCCGCTGCTGCGATACTGCTGCTGCCGCTGCTCCTTGTGCTCCTGCGCTAAGAATAGCGCTAGCGCTCTGGCGCTAACCATAACGCACCGCTAGAGTGCCGGTGGTTCGATCCTGGAATGAGGCTGGACCGGTACTTTTGTACCGGTGGGGCAGAGGCCGGCCTTTATGCTGCGAGGCCTGGCCGTGCCCTGAACCGTCAAGATTGACGGTTCAGCCCCAACCGGCGGGCGGCAGCCTCAAGAGCGCCGCCAGGCCCAAACGGTAATGTCGTTTGGGCCTGCCCRTCGGKTCTGGTCCAAGATGAGGCCTTTAYGGCCTGTAGTACCCCCAAGGTCGGGCCTTTAGGCCCTACTGTGTCCCTCTGGCCCTAAGTCGGGTCCGGTAGGACCCGTGTGGCGTCGAAGATGTAACATCAAGTCTTTGCGCGGGTGGCCCGGCCGTGCAAGGGCCAAAGAAGGTCCCAGCAACTTGGTGCTTTCTCTTTTTTGGTGCTTTCTCTTTTTCTTGGAGGCAAAGAGAACTCTCTCAGCGAGCTGGGAGGTATCTATTTTTGTCTGTTTAGTCGTTGTTTGCTTTGTTTGCATTTGTTGTACTGAGTCGACTCCATTCCTGATATAATGTGCTAATAATGATTTGACATTTATGCGTATGCTTTTGATGATGCCCTTTTTTACAGGTGTGCGTCTCGTCTGTTGATCCGGACTCCTTCATTGCTGCAGTTGATGCCGGTGCGCATATGGTAATGACTTTTTTTTTCCCTCCCCTTTGTTTTATAGGTTTTGCTTTAACTGAAGCTATTGCTTTGTTTGCCTTAATGATGGCTTTTTTCATACTTTTATGGGCGACTGTGACATTACCAAATGAGTTGTTCCTTTGCACTGTTCGTCTTCTCAGGCGCGATAGCGAAGAAGGTGAGGCTGTAGTAGTCTGCAGCGAGACGGACAACAAATTATTTTACTTATCCCACCATGTTGTTGGAGACACCCAAATCGATGAACTCAAGGTGGGGACCACCGCCTACCCAAATCGATGGAACTCGAGATGGGGACCACCACCGCATGTCATGAAAGGGGGTCACTGGGAAAGAACAGCCTCGTCAACCCCCCAATAATTTGTAAACAAAGGGCTCTGACGAGTCCGATCCAAAAAGTGACCCCACAGGTGACCCCACAGGTGGCCCCTAGAGGATATAGGTCCCACAGGTGTGGTTGTCGTCCTTGCACAGGGGCCATTTGCTAATTACCCTTCTCTGTATCGTTTGGATTTTAATCGATGTCCTGAAAGACAACAGTATATAAGACCGACTGGCCTATAGCTCAGTCGGTACACCTACGAAATGTTGAAATGCGGACCGGAGTTTGAATTCCAATGTGAAAAGAAACAGTATTTAAACCACCAGTACACTGCGCATTGGCCCGCAGGTGTCAGCATGAAACCCGCACCACTTCGGAGGCCGCCGATTTTGGTTCGTTGTGGAGGTCTGCATGGGCGACATCTGCACGTGCTTTGGTTCCTGCTGCTGCTGTTGCTGAAGTCTTCTTATTGCGTTGTCATTAGAGTATGCTAGTATAAGAGCTGTGTGATTGTAGTCTGGGCGCTGAGCGCCAAGAAGGAGAAGAGACGTGGAGTCCATCGTTGACGGCGGCGAGACAAAGGGCTGACGTGGACAGTTGGGTTTGTTGTTTTTGGTCTCCTTTGGTGCGATATTGGTGCATTTCTGGACAGCTCACAAGTCACAACTAATAATCTGGATTTCTATGTGATGTTGCATTTTGGAATTCTGTCATTTTGCTGTAGTTGCTCATTTTCCTTGCACATGGCTTGATAGAAATTTTGAAAATCACATGCTAGTCGACTAAGTCTATAAATTGTATAAATATTAAATTCAATAAATATGAAAAAGTATGAGCAGGCATGTAGTGTAGTGGAACATCAATAAGGTGGGGAGATTCTGATCTTCGTTCTGTAAGCCTGTGTGTCGCAAAGACAAGTGATCACAGTTTCACTACTCCGTCCCTTTAGCCAATACCGTCTTCACCCGAATAGAATGCCCGGTAATTATTGCCATATCTGGGCTGAAAGTTCTGCCAAATACAGCTATAATGACTGTGCGTTATATTGGGTGAAGACGGTAGCTGAATGCTTCTGGGTTGCTAAAGGTTTGTCCACGCTTTTGCATTCTGCAATGCAGATTGAAATCGGAAATTATGATTCTTTCTACAAGGAAGGGCGGACATTCTCTGCTGCGGAGGTATCTGCTGAACCTGCATTTTTTTCTTCCCACCTCCTTCCTCCTCTCTTTACCCCATTTCCCCCTGTTTTCCCCCTTCCTCCCCTTCCCTTCCCTCCTTTCTGTGTTTCTTGAACTGTCTTCCTGTCCCTACCTCCTCTTCGTTCCTCCTCGTTCCGCCCCTCCCCTCCTGTCCTTTTGTCCCCTGTTTCCCCCCTTCCTCCCCTTCCTTTCCCTTCCCTCCTTCCTGTGTTTCTTGAACTGTCTTTCTCCCCCTACCTCCTCCTCGTTCCTCCTCATTCCGCCCCTCCCCTCCTGTCCTTTTGCCCTTCCTGCGTCTTCCATTGCTCCTCAGTCTCTTCCGTCTTCCTCCTTCCTTCCGTTTCGTCCCTGTTCTTCCTCCCCCCTCCTCTTCTTCCCTCCCCCTCTTTGCTTCTCGCCCTCCTCCTCCTCCTTCCTCCTCTCTCCTTCTCTCCTTCGTACTCCTCTCCTGTCCTCCTCCCACTTCCTTCTCCCCCTTCACCTCCTCTTGTCAAGCAATTTAGGTCTTTTTTTTTTTCCCCTCTCTCCTTTGACATCATTGCCATTGTTACCGTCATTCTTGTCTTTTCCATCCCCATATCTTTGTTTTTTTTTTTTTTTTTTTTTTTGAATCCATTCCCATCACCCTTAATAAGATGGAAAAGTGTAATGATTCTAATGAACACTTACACTCGTGAGTCATGCATCGCTCCTGATTCCCCTGGCTAAGCAACACCCAGCGATGGTAGGCGTCAGTCAAACAGTTTCGAGCATCGATGGTATCGAAACGATACACAGCAATATTTCATGGCCTTGCACTCACCGATAAGCTCCGCCTAACTGGCAAGTGCACCCTCGACATGTTTTGGCAAGTGCCTGTACTAGCCATCCTCAGGAGGACTGTTCGGTGACTTAACACACTAGTCGGAGCTCTCCTATTTATGAGATACTACTCGACTCGGACTGTCTACATGCTTCCAAAGCTGTCGCAACATCGTTACCCTTCCAAAGGGTCTGGAACTTCCCCTGACGAACTTCCCCTGAACCTTATTTTTGTTCCTCGGAAGACTTTTATTTATCTGCTTCATAGTAATACGGGCCTGTAGTACCTGTACCCAATTTCTGCAGAAGGCTACCCCTATAATGCGGCAAAATATCTAAGCCTACAAAGGACCCGGGCCAACTATCAAACGGCAAAACATCTAGGCTAGAGTTGTTATTCTCATCCTTCTCGTCATCATCGTCGTCGTCATCATCGTGGTTCCCATTGTTCTTGTCATCCTTGTTATTTCCCATTATCGATGGGCTTGTTGCCGTTATGTCATCGTGATCCTTTTACTGTTATCTTTGCTGTTATTGTCATTGTTGTTGCCTGTTAGTCTCATCCTGGTTGTAGTATCCTTGTCGTCCTGCCATTCCCTTGGTATCTTCATCAGCCTCACCAGTTATCGTCCTTCTTGTGATTCTACTCCTCCTCCTCCTCCTCCTCCTCCTCCTCCTCCTCCTCCTCCTCCTCATCATCATCATCATCATAATCACCATCAGATCATCATCATCAGCAGTTTGACATTGTCGTCGTCATCATCATCATCATCATCATTGTTGTCGTCATTGTTGTCGTCATCGTCATCATCATCATCAGTTTTTGCATGTTTATCATCCTTGTGGCTGCTGTTGACTTTCCTGTCCTTATTGCTGCTGCTACCACTGTCTTCGTTGTCATCACTTCCTTCATTGTTATGCCCGTTGTTGGCCTCTTCGTCCCCCTTCCTCTCCTCCTACCTTGTCCTCCTTTGTCCTGCTCCTCCTTTTCGTCCTCCCACACATCCTCGTCCTTGGCGTGTCGTTATAATCGCCATTATAATTACAAGGGTACCTGTTGCGGCTTCGCTCGCACGGGATTGAGGGGGAAATGGGAGAAATGAGCCGGGTGGTGGGTTCGGTGGGTTCGGTGGGTTTTGGGGTGGTGGTCGGGGGTGTTTTTAGACTCATGGTCCAGTGGGGGGTTGTGCCCTAACAGCTATGACAATGTGTGTGCAGCACCTCCTGCTAGTTGGGGAGGTTCTGCAACAGCTGGCTTTGGAAMTCGGCATGCTACTGTCTTCCCCCGACTCTAGACTGAAATCCTGCRGCGTACCTTGGTTGGTATGGYACGCAAGTGGCATTCATGAGKTCTTGGGTTCAATCCCCGTTGGCCTCATGTACMTTCCTGGGCAAGCTTGGCGCCAGGCGCATAGGGAAAGACCGGAGGTGAGGCACGTCCTTTTTTCCCCGAGCTGTGGWGGTGTGGCGGAGGAGCGGGGAGAGTGAAGAAGCGGGGGAAGAGGGCGGAGGAGGGCGGCAGGAGCAGAGAAGTCGTGGGGGATGAGCCCGTAGTTAGTTTGGGGTCTCTCTCTCTCTCTCTCTCTCTCTCTCTCTCTCTCTCACGCGCGCGCGCGCGCGCTCCCTCCGCTGCGCGCTGTTTTTCCGTTTTTTTTTTTTTTTTAATAAAGATCTCCCAATGGTCCACGGGTCAGATATCAAACTGAGTGGAACAGATAGTACACTTGATCGTCATCATCGTCGTCGTTTTTGGGGGCGGGATAGTTAGCTAGTGGGGTGTCTCTCTCTCTCTCTCTCTCTCTGATGCACTCGCACGTGCGTGCGCCGTTTTTCAAACTGACCGGAACAGATACTACACTTGATCGTCATTGTCGCCGTCGTGCAGCAGAGGAGCGGAGAGTGGCACACACTTGATCGTCATCGTCGTCGTCGTTTTGGGGGACGGGGTAGTTTGTTTAGGGTCTCTCTCTCTCTCTCTCTCTCTGTTGCTCTGCTGCGCGCGCACGCGCGCTGTTTTTTCGTGTTTTTTTTTTTTTTTAAAGATCTCCGAATGGTTTACAGGTCAGATGTCAAACTGATCGGAACAGATACTACACTTGATCGTCATTGTCGTCGTCGTTTTGGGGGCCGGGGTAGTTAGTGAGTTTGGGGTCTCTCTCTCTCTCTCTCTCTCTCTCTCTCTCTCTCTCTCTCTCTCTCTCTCTCTCTCTTGGAGCGGAGAGTGGCAGACACTTGATCGTCATCGTCGTCGTTGTTTGGGGGACGGGGTAGTTAGTTTGGGGTCTCTCTCTCTCCCTCTCTCTGTGTGTGTGTGTGTGTGTGTGTGTGCGTGCGTTGCTCTGCTGCGCGCGCACGCGTGCTGTTTTTTCGTGTTTTTTTCTTTTTTTTTTAAAGATCTCCCAATGGTTTACAGGTCGAATGTCAATCTCTCTCTCTCTCTCTCTCTCTCTCTCTCCCTCTTGTGTGCGCGCACGTGCGTGCGCCGATTTTCAAACGGATCGCAACAGATACTACACTTGATCGTCATCGTCGTCGTCGTTTTGGGGGGCGGGGCAGTTAGTTAGGTTGGGGTGTCTCTCTCTCTCTCTCTCTCTCTCTGTGGTGCGTGCGTCGTTTTCCCGTGTTTTTTTTTCTTAAAAAAGAACTCCCGATTGTCCACCGGTCAGATATCACACTGATTGAAACAGATACTACACTTGATCGTCATCGTCATCGTCGTTTGGAGGGGCGGGATAGTTAGTTTGTGGGTTCTCTCTCTCTCTCTCTCTCTCTCTCTCTCTCTCTCTCTCTCTCTCTCTCTCTCTCTCTCTGCTGCGCGCTGTTTTTCCGTTT